GAGAGGTCTTGGGGAGTCAAGCAGCTCAGGATGCAAGCCCATAGCGTGCCAGCAAGCCGAGTGGCTCGTGCTAACAGACGTGGCCGAGGATGCGAGAAGTGCAAGGTGCATCAGAAAGGAAAAGGCTCTCAGCTTGGCTGATGGGACCGCAGAAGCGCCGATGAAGGATTTGGGGCAGAGCTCGTGCTGCTGTAGGCACGGCCAAGACAACTGGAGGCAGCCGCTTCCCTGCAATACGCTCCAAAACTGCCCGTGGCATCATTACTTTGATAGTTAAATGAAAATAATAATTTGCAACTTCTCTTTCCGTTGCAGTCAAAACCTAGACGAGATCTGCCTTCAGAAGCATTCTAATTTAAGCTCGCACTTCAGTAAATCCTTAAAATAATCCATTTCTTACTTGTCAGTCTCAGAGACAAACACTGGTTTTCACCAGAACAAAGAGCAGCCAAACACTCAGCCAGACCTGTCCATCACCAGGTGAGGTCCATAGGGGGAAGGTGTGACCAATCCATCAGGACACCAAGGAATTTGGGTCCGGCTTTGCACCTTCCTGTACATAAACCCTGTATCATCCTCTTAAGACTTGCATCCCACAAGGGGTATGCTACCCCTTAGCAGGGAAGATAAAGAACTTAAATCTATTCAAGGGGAAACGCAGTCTTTCCCAGTGAGAAAAAAATACCATTTGTTTCTTCATCTCCACCTTCCTTGTTCATGTTTTTCTCTTATGCTTTAAGAAAAATAAAATTCCGAATTTACACAAAAATTAGCAGTATATTGCTGAATTAAGGGCCACTTTCACTACAGAGGATGAACAGCACAAGTCCACAAGAGCAACTGCTGCTTTACATCAGCTAGAGAGGTCACCATTTTTTAGCTTGAAATTGATGGTTTTGCTCTTTAAGTATAAAAATATTAAAATGGGATCAGGCCCTTCAGCTGACACAAAACAACAAAATCCAAGTCTCTCGGAAAAAGTTTGGCCTTTCTAACAAGCCAAAACACCCTCAATTTTAATTGATTTATATGCAAGACAAGCAGTTGAAAAAAGAACAGACTCCCAGCTATTTTTTCCACACAGTAAGACCCGCTGGGCAAACAAAACCGTATTCATTATTTACCTTGGGGCAGGACCCAGAGTCCTTAACCAGGTTAAGGGCCCTATTGTGTTAATCTTTACATTAGTCCAATGTAACGTGCACCATATTTAAACAAAATAATGTCAATCCCTCTTTAGTAAGGGGGCTGGGAACGAGACAACACTAACCCCCTCCTCTCTGCACACACATTGCAGTATAATCTGCCACCTTCTATAAACACTGCCATTTGTCTTTTCTTTAGATGCATTGCAGGAATATTTCCATATAAGCCCTATTATAATAAAAACGACAGTGTGACAAACAGCTTTGCAAATAGGTCTGCTGCTCCAACAAAGCACAGACGCAACACACTGATTTGCAGAAATACCCTGTATAATTCACAAGTGCTACTAGTTGATTTGAAATACAGTAAATTTGGGTGGCCGCTTTATCTTCTCCATCACGATACCTACTTCCTTATACAGAAGTGAAGAAGTAGAACATGTGCTCCACTCCTGCAACCGTTCCCCCAATCCCTTCCTTCTCCTCCCCTCCAATTTACACTGATTACAGGTTTCAAAGTCTTAGAGATTCATTTTTAAATTCTATTTAAAATGCTGATTTTTACTTGTTTCCTTTTCATCTAGATCAATACTGCACAGATAATAAATATGTACCATTTACACCTTTTCATCTTAGCATTGAATACCCTACAGTAAGTTTAAGAAAAATCAGTCCCTGGATAGCACGTAAGAGTCCCCTTCTTTAGCCTATTCCCTATTTTTTCTATAATACAATACATAAGCCTGAGTGTGTTCTATTAACGCAGACACCCATTACAACATTCGGATATTAAGAGCAGCAGAAAGGAACTGCATCTCAAAATGTTCACTGCTCATTTTAAAGTTTCTCTAATTTTATGATGATACTTCAGCGCACACGTTATTCTTCACAAAACAGTGCCCCAGCGTTAAGACATCACCACATCAGTTTTCTATTCAGTCTTCACCGAGAGAAGCCACCATTTTCTTTGATACATGCAAATTAAATTGTTTGTCTCTACAGAAAGTGTAAACCACAGAGAATTCTGCATTTCAGTGGTGATACTGTCACCTAGCATTAAAAACAAGTATTAATTTGTAAATGAACCTCCTCAATCGTGTTCAAAGGAAGTAATTAAGCATTTAATGGACTAACAAACCAGCACAAATATTAGTTTTATTACTTCCAAGGTACCTCACAACCATATAAAATTCCCCTCACACTGATGATGATCTTCATCAGAACAATGAGACTCTTGTATAACACAATTTTCAATAGATTCAGGAGGATAGATTACTGGAGTCTTGCAAAAGCTATACAATTTATACTGTTTCAAATTTAGCAAAACACAACTAGCTGCTTACACATATCTGGGATTATTAGACTTGATTTTACATTCTAGAGCCTTAAAAAAAATAACAGCATCTTGCAAGTATCCTGCTTATGAAATGCTACAAATTCTTTAATAATCATGCAGTATTTTCAGCATTTAAAAAAAGCTCAAATTCATTTTTCTAACAAAGCATTTAAGAATGCCTTACTTCATTAAAATAAGGTTTTTAAACAATGCCTACATTTAACTTACATAATGCACTAGGTTTTCTGTAATTATCTAGTAATTCCAACTATTCAGTAATACAGGAGACTTAAAGCGCAGCTTAGGAACAGCAAGATCTGTATTTTCCAGCAACCCTGTGAAACTCTGGCGAAGTTAATTCATTGCACTGACAAGAAAAGAAACCTTCAACACAGTCAAGCAAAGTAGTTTAGCAGCTGTACACAGGGCTTTTCTTTTGCTCGAGGCTTTAATAATTTCAACAGGCACTATTTCACAAATAATCTTTCAAACTCTGAATAGCCATGCTGTGATAGGAACCAAAGCAGCGAGTCGTGGCTCTAGTAATGCACAGAAATCCCGACATACCGGGTGGCGACTGAAAGATACATTAATTAACTTTGTTTTCCTGTCTTTAAAAAGGTCAAGTGGGATGCCGACTGCCATACAATCACTTTGTTTCAGACGTTTTTATTAGACAAAAGGCTTACAGTTAGCACTGCATTGTGCCCCACCCAGCTGGCTGAGAATTGTCATCTTCTCATTCCATTAGGCTGTAGGGCTGCATTACAATTTTCTAATTAAGCATCCCCTGCGATACATGTGTCCACCTTAAAAACACTCTCTTCTTTCCCTCCCCATCCAAATAATCTTTTGGCAGGTCAGGCATGAGTATGAAAAGCCCCATGAATGAAACAATGAAGGAACAGGACAGTACTGACCTTTTCCTGTAATAACGTCTCACATCTCTCCCTCCCTCCCTTGCTTTCTTAAACTCCCTGCCTTGGTTTCTTAAACTAGGGAACCAACTATTTAAAAATGTAGAATTACCAGAAGAAAAAAAAAAAAAATAAAAATTCAAACCAACCATAAAGCCTTCTTCAAAGCACCCACTCCCCCCCACCCCCCAAACAGGTAAGCCTGTATTTGTCAATTATTTTTCCTAAAAGTATTTTGAGAATAAGTATTTTACACGCACCCCCGCTGCATCAACCTCACTCTACCTGCATGAGATATTAAATGTAATGGTTAAAATAAGATAAAGCAAATATTATTGGTTCCTCTACTTGCGCCACACATATATATTGACACTATTACACAAATGCACAATATGTAAAAAGAATGTGAAAAACTTTATACTTATGAAATCCAACTTGTAAGATTTTCAATAAACACATGAATTTAACCACCTAATTCATAAGTCTGTTGTGAAAGAATGTCACATTTACTTAATCACTATTTATGTAAGTGATTTGAGGCAGCTGTACCTTAACATTAAATACAAAGTAACCATTAGGAGAAAATACTGAAGACACTGATAAAGTACAGAAAATACTTTCTTTTTTCAAAACAATTTTAAGCAATATCAGGTTCTCCACAGTCTCTCCATGTACACTCAATTTAATTAAAAAACTGGTAGCCATCATCCCATGCAAGCCTGACTAAGGCTGGCTAACAACAATATTATGTTAACTCAAGTCAAAATGGAGCATCACTTCGCCTGATTTATTAAAGGGAAAATAATCAGATAGGACACGGTTTTCATAGGAAGGCCCAATTCCCCCCCTCCCTAAAACTGACCTTATGAACATCCACCATTTCTCCCCTCCACAGCATCTTTTTAGACAGCCATCATGCACCTATGCAGTACTAAGAGCTTTCAGAAATTTGGACTTCTTTTTTCAAGGTAAAATGCAGGCATATTAATAAGAAACATTACTTCTCACACTAATATTGCCCAGCATGTATTTGACAGAATCCTATTAACCCACAATTACTTAACCTGCGGTGAAACGCGGCCAACTCTTTCCTTCTTAACAGGCATTTAATATGTAGATGGTCCATGCTGGTTAGACAGTTTATATTCTTATTACATTAAAACCACTATTTTCACATGAAAAGTTGTATTTGCTACCACACCTTAGTTTTGCTTTGTGGTTTTTGCCTACTCAATGACTGCTGAGTAGTATTAATGAAATCCTTGGGGTACCTACCTTCCAACATTTCAATGGCTCAAGAAAGGCCATAACACGGCCACAAATTAATTGAAATATATCTCATTCTTTCACAGGGAATAGGTGCTGGTGATGCAAGCACTGGAAATACAGGCAAACTCTTTCCTAGTTACTATTTTTTTTTGGGTATGAAAAGCAGAGTCTTTCAGCTATTACCCATGATGCCTCCCAACCAAAAACATCTGCAATATGCTACGCTCCCCGTTTGTCGCAATCAACCCGCCTATTTAAAGAGGGGGGGAAGAAATCATTAATCTACCAAAATACACACACACAAAAAGTCATAGGAACACCTCTTGTACTTACATGTTGCACCGAGCCGCATGCAGGAAGGTAGCTGTGGCACTGCCAACCACGTTGAAGACCTGCAAGACCCAGGTATTTGTGAAGATGTTATTTTGTTGGCTTTGTGGCTTTCAATCATTAAACATCCCCTGCTCCCCCAGAACTACCTACGATTTTGCTAATGATGCTCTCATTTTAAAGACGGTTTGTGAGAGATGGGATAAGGAAAAACGTTCTAGGTATTTTAACCTCTTGATGTTGCAGCTGTAATGCAAGAATGTTTAAGAAACATCAGAACGGCATGCTCATGAATAACTGTTTCCTTCCTGCTTAAGCAGGGAGGGGGGGGGAAAACAAACAAAAAATAAAAAAGGCAAGCCTTTACACCCTGCATTTCACACCTTCAGGAGGTAATAAACCTGCTTGGTTAGGACAAATGGTAGGACATGCAAAATGATGTTTGAAATCAAGGTCTCCTCAAACGCTCTTTCTCCTCCCTTCAGGTAGGTCATCCCTCTCAGTTAATTTTTGTGTAATGGGTCTAGTTTGTTAGAAAGCAAAAAGAACCCATCCTGCTGCATAAAGCATCTTAACGCCCATGCTACAGAGGGGGCATCATCAACCACAGCCGTCCTAAACTTCTCTCGGGTGGTAGCAACCTGGACTTCTCAAAGCCACTTCAGCAGAGGCAGCGCAGCAAAGGCGTTTCCCTGTCAATGACGGCACCCAGCTACAGCTCGGTCACCCAACCACGACTGCACGAGGGAAGCCGAGCCCTCCTCCTCCTCCTCCTCCTCCTCCTCCTCCTCCTCCTCCTCCCAGACACCCAGCGCAGGAGCTGTAGGGTGTCACCCCCACCCCCCCCTCCCCAGGGTAACAGCGAGAGGTGCTTTATGGGCGCGGATGCCCGATCGCTCATCCTCTTGCACAGTGGGGGCTCCGGGGGGGGCTCGCTCCCGCAGGGTGGGCAGCACCCGCCTTGGCGGGGGAGCGGGTGGTGGCCTTCTAGAACCTTCCTGCGCAGGCCAGCACCTGCATCCCCCAAACCCGCCCCGCAAAGGTCTGCTAACGCGCTCCTGGAGAGCACCTGCTCTTCATCCCAACACACCCACAATCAGAATTTTTTTTTTTTTTTTTTTTTTTTTCCCTCCACGTACTGGATCTTCCAGCAAAATTTATAAAAAGCGATTTACGCTTTCGCTCGGTCCTCGTGAGGTAAAACAGTGGCTAGAATGCGACGCTTGCAGAACTTTAGAGGGATTTCAACTAAAAAAAAAAAAAAAAAACCAACCCCAAACCCACACACATCAACAACCCAGGTCTATGCAAGCTCCTTTTTCTCCGCAGCTATTCGCAGGGAGGCGAGTCCTTACCACCCTTTGCCGCACAGACCCGACCCCGCAGCGCCCGGCCGGGCCCCCGCGCGCAGCCCACCCGCGACACAGCGCGGCACCCACGCCGGCATCCCCACCGGGCCGCGGAGGCACGGGCGCCCGGTCCCCGGCAGCTCGGCGTTTTTGGTGTTTTTTTTTTTTTGTTTTTTTTTTTTTTAATTTTTTGTCATGTAACTTCCCGTTTTAAGGAGTTCTAGAAACTTTGCGGTAAGAGCCCGCGGCGGGGGCTGCCGCGGTGCAGGTGCCGCCGGGAGCGGGTTACCCACTGCCCCCCCAACCCCCGGCCCGGCCCGGGTACCCACCCGCGTTCCTCCACGCCGGCACCGCGACCCCGCGGCGGGCAGGGCGAAGAAGACGCTCCCCTCCGGGGGGCTCCGCGGGGCTCAACCCACCGCGCCAAACTCCGCAACACCCCCCCCCCCCCGCCTCCCCAAACCCCGCAACAGGTACGCCCCGCGTGAATCCCGCCCCACACCCCACACCGCCGACCCCCGGCACCTTCCCACAGCGGCAGCACCTCTCCCCCACCCACCACCTTCCCCCCACCCACCCACCGGGAGGGGAGGGGTGTGGGGGGGGGGGGCTGGAGCCCCGCGCCCACCAGCCCACGCACTCACCCCGTGGCGTGGCGCGGCGTGTCGCGGCGCGGCGGCTCGCAGCCTCCCCTGCTGCAGGAGGCAGGCAGGGGCGGGGGCGGCGGGGCCGTATATACCGGGCACCCCCGCCCCCGCGCGCGCTCGCGGGAGTGGGGGGGGGGGGGGGGGGAAGAAGGGAGAGGGGGTTGGGGGGGGCGGTGCGCGCGCGCGCGCGCGCGCGGCGGTGATGATGATGATGATGATGATGATGATGATGATGATCAGGTGACGGGGCAGCCCCCTACACTGCGGAGCCGGGCGGGCGGCGGCCGTGGGGGGGGGGGGGGGGGGGGAGCGCCGCGCCCCGCGCCACGCCACGCCACGCCACGCCACGCGCTGGACGGGTGGGGTTTGAGAACGCAGCGTGGGGGGGGGGAGGGGGCGGGGGATCGGGAACGGCCCCCACTCACGTTTTCTTCCACACACCCCCCCCCCACACACCCCCCCCTTCCCTTCCCACCCGCGGGGGGACCCCGTGCAGCAGCCGCGGCCGGCCCGCACCTTCGGGGGTGCCGCCCTCCGGGAGGGGGGGGGGGGGACCCGGCCCAGCCTCCCCCCGGGGGTCGGCACCGCTCCCTAAATCGCGCCGCAGTGATGGCCCGGGAGGTGTCCGCGGGTCGGGCGTGGGGCGGGCTGGGGAAATAAAAGAATAGAATGGTGCGACAAGGGCTTTTTGGAAGTGGGCAGGTGGGTCCCGCGGGTGCGTGACCGGCGGGGAGCGAGGGGGCCGTGGGGGGGAATGGGGGGGGGGGGGGGGAAGAAGCCTCCTCTGCATCTGCACCCGCGCGTTTTGCTGGCGGAGGGAAGCTGCCTGCGGTTCACGCCTATAAAGGAGTGAGTTTAATTAAACACATTGACCCTGGTGTTCTCTCTTTTTAAAAAGCGGGGTCGAGGGGGCTGCAGAATCCCCCCGGAGCGGGTTGGCAGCCTGCTGAAAGGCTGAGCTGAAAGCTCCTTTTTTACAGAGCGATGCTGCTGCACCTCTGCTTCTGAAGACCAATATTTGATGCAGTGTCATAACGGGGGGACACACACACACACGGACACACGGACACACACACACACGCATGACACACAACGGGACCTGCCCTGCCCTGGGCCTTACCCCCCTGCCTGTGGGCTCAGGAGGGGCTGCAGGCTTGGCTGACGTGGGGCCCCCCACTGCTCCCCACTTTCCAAATCAGGTGCCTGATATCACTGAGTTACCTAATTCAGGCTCCTGTAACCCCCTTCTGGGCAATGGGGTTGCTGCTCTTTAACGTGTCACCCCACCACCGTTCCCCAGCACAATGCATCCCCCCACATCCCCCCCTTGCTGTTTCCACGCTGTTACCAGTCCCCTGATTTTGCTCAAACCGGGGCCGGGTTGAACTTCTGGGAGCACCCACCTGCATCAGCGGGGCACCAAAGCACACACCAGGGCCAGTAAGATGCCCCTGCCCCACGGACATTTTGCCCTAGGCGTTTTTGGGGGTCCACCAACGCTGGGGGGCAGGGGACAGGTGCTGAGAGAAGCCCCAGCTCCGTGTTTCCCGGTCCCAAGCCAATTGCCCCCAGCATCCCGCACCTGCCCCGCTCCCCTGGTCCTTCTTGCCCACCCGCACCCCACCACAGGGCCGGCGGGCAGCCCCCCACCCCTGGCAGGCCCACCCCAGCCCCTCCGCTGCCAGTTCCGAGCCTCTGCAATTATCATTAGCTGTAGAGCTTCCCGTGTTCCCCGTCTTTGCAGGGTTTGGCTCCCCTCTGCAAACGGCACGGGTTTCGGTCGTTCTTGAGGGGCAGGACCGCTTCTCCTGGGGAGGCTCATAGCCCCCTTGGGATCAGAGCCATTTCGGTGGCATGAAGCCTGGACGGACCGATGTGCGTTCTTCCCTCAAAAAATCCTTCGGTCAAAATGCGTTTAATCCCATGGATGTTTTAAGTTTTCACAGGAATATTTTCTTATTATTCATTTCAGTGCTGCAACCTTTACTCATTTGTGTAGTCTCTGACAGAGAGGTACCAGAGGCGTGTGCTGGGCTGGGTCTTTTCCCCCGGTGGAATAGGTACCCTTCACATTAGTGCGTTAGCATTTTTTCCCCTGGAAAATTCTTAAAACTTTAGCCTTGCAACTTACTGCCATGCAATCGTAAAGCTGTGTTTTTCCTGCTAGAAATTTCTCATAGGAACTTGTCTCCCTGACATGATCCACTTACTGTTTTTTCCTTGTCAAGCACAGGCTTGTTTTTCAATAAAAATAAAAGCAAAGAGCTCATTCTGGAATCCTTAGTCAGACAAAGCTTGCACTGAAATCAAGGGGAGTCTTGTCTCGGTGTAAAGATTGCAGGTTCAGGATCAAAATCATTATAATAAAACATTGTCACAGGAGCAACATCTCCCACTTTGAAAATAAACATCTTTGCTCCAGTTAGGTATTTATGTAGCAACAGGAGACTATTGATTTAGGAAAGCTTTCTGGTGCACAGATACTCTAAACCCTTCTTGCTACTCAGAAGCAGCAAAGCTCAGGAGGAGCAGGTTACAAAAGAAGTATAATGCAAACCTTTGCTCTCTTTTGCTGCTGGCAGTACTCAGGCAAAGCCTCTGGCTCACCTTCACCTGAAACACCCCGTCCCCAGCTCTTCTCCCCATCCCATGGCCAGATGTTCCCAGCCAGGCCACGGAGCTGACAGAAGTAAACATCTGCCCGTGGTGGGGGCATGGGGCTTCACAGCCTGACAAAGGCACTGAAGAACAAGGGCTGCATCCCTGCTTGAGTGCAATACCCCTGTAGTTTCTTCCTCCTTCTGTAAGGGATTCTTACAATGGGGACAACAGAAATTTTGGTAATTGTACCAAAAGAAGAACCAATCTACTAATTCATGGGGGGGTGGGGGTAGAAAGAGAGAGAGAAACATACACAAGCAGCCTGAATCAAACAGAGGAAGATTTGTCATCTTATTTATATAAACTTCCAGAATTTCTGTAGTAATGTAATCATCCCATTATACTTATGGTAGAAGAATACTTGCAGAGTTATTTTTGAACAAAAGCTCCCAAGTGGTTAAATTACATAAACCAGAAAACTGGAAGTCTTTAAACAGTGCTAGAAAGTGTTTCAGAAGGCTCTGACTCTGATCCCAATAAATAACAAAGCTGCAAATAACAGGAGGACTTGATTACTTTTGAGTCTTGCCACTTACGTTACGTAAAGAAGTACTGCTTGCCTAACAGGGTACATTTCTAGGAATTAGGTTGGTGACTTCTGTGGGTAAAGATCTGGGTCAAAAATGTGTTAGAATTATTTTTATGGGAGATGACAAAGTTTTTCTCATGGCATCTGCCATGGAGGCCTCCTTGCGAGATGTGTAAAGAATTGTTTTCATAAGTAATGGTCACCAGGAACCAGCCTGCCCAGCCCTTGACTGAAGGCATTTCTACTCTAAGAAGAAATAGATAAACTCGAGTCCACGAGCAAATTTTTATCCCAGCGGAATGTGAGTATGGTATTTCCTCATTAATGCAAACAAATATAAACATAAAAGAAACTCAAACAACACATCACTGAGAGAAAGCCTAAGTTGCTCAGCCTTTAATCTATTTAACATAAATAACTGCCATAACTGTGGTGAATAGGGCAGTTGATCAGAAGTCCCAGTATGGAGGCTTGGAAGTCATGGTATGAAATCTATTCATCTTACATCCCACATCCCGAAAAATGGCAATATCCATGCCTGATGTTCTGAGAAGTGCCAATACGGCATAACTCTGTTTTGTGGCCCATTTACGTAGAGACTAGCTCTCTGCTGAAGTGTAAAATACTATTTTGGCACAGGGTACAAAAACAAGTTGCATACACTGGATCTGTACATTAGGTTTTAACATCCTTTGAGGGCAGGCAGATGCGGTCGTTCAGCCATCAGGCAACCCTCAGGACACGTTCAGAGCTGCCTTCTGATTACCTAGGCACTTCAAGTTCCTCTCCAAAAAGCAGCAGGTGAGCTCTGATTTATTCACTATACACTAGAAGAGGGTAAGTGCCGTATTACCCCAGTTAGAAGCCGGTAAACCCCATTTACCCATTATAGTGCTGCGAACTCTTTCTCTCATCTCTGAGCCAAGGAGCTTGACTTGAAGAGCCTTACAAAGAGGAAGAGTGAGTTTGTGGTTGTGTTGGGAGCAAGAATTTGTAGATTCAGTTTTAATCCCTGTCCTGAGCTGTGGGTACACCAGCCCTTTGTCCGTGCAATAGAGAGACAACCTTGCCTTGCTCTGCCACGTCTATTTAAGTCCTATACACTTGTGACCACAAACTAAGCACCTTTAAAGCGAGGTCCTGAGCTCAGCTGAGAGGTCGAGGTGTAACACAAATGATTTCCCCATCTAGTATCCACGCGGGGCCGCGCGCTTGGAGCGAGAACGATCCTAAAAGCAGCAGACTGCAGCTCAGACCCTCAGGGGCCTGCTAGCTGCTGCTGCCCCTCTGCCCAGAGAGCCCTGGGAGGAGGTGGCCCCCCCGCTGCCCTCCCTCAGCCCCAGAGAGGACCTTTCCTGGCCCCTGTCGCAGCAGATGTGGGGCCAGCAACCCTCTGTGAAGCGCAGCCTGGGAAAGCCGGGGAGCGGTACCGATCCACGTGTGACTGCGTAGCTGCGGGGTGGCCCAGGGGACACCCCCTGTCCTGTCCCTTGCCCTCCCTCAGGGAACGATGGAGCTGGGGCCATTGCCCGTATCAACGCGTCTACAGAAAAAAGAATTTATTATTTCTATGGGATGGTTGAGGTGAATGGGCTGAATCTAAGGCATTGATACTCATCCTTTCCAAAGGGACTGCCCATTCGTTTAGCAGAGGAAAAGAACCAGGGATGGACCATGACTCCCACCACCTGCTTGTCACCTTTCAGCCTTGAAACCTAGACATAGACTGCTTCTCCAGCTTCTCCATGCGGTACAAAGCTTGTTGTAAGACTCTGTATGCTACCTGCCCTCCAAAATGCAAATCCCTCACTTACAAATGAGAGTAGCGGGCAGCCTGCAAACCATTGGCGACACACACCAGGGTT